AGATGAAACTCATGTGGATTCATCCTCAGGTAGTGTAAATTCAAGTTTGTTCAAATCATGACCCCCGGGGGTAGGGTGGGGCCAAATGGCCGATAAAAGTTTTACATAGGAATATATAGGGAAACCTTTTTAAAATCTTCTTTTCAAGTACTTCAAAGCCATGCTTAGTGATATTTATAGGGAATCATCCTCAGGTATTGTAGATTCTATTTTGTTCAAATCATGACCCCCTGGGGAGTTAAAATTCAAGCCCCCTCCCCCCTCAGTAAACTTTCAGTTCTGATCTGATATGTGCTTTTTTCTAGCCAATTGCTCAGGTGAGCGATGTGGCCCCTGGGCCTTTTGTTTCCTTTTAAGTCAGTTTTAGCTTCAAAACTACTAAAGTCATCATGATGATCAATTTTTTAAATGCACAGGTTAAAAGGATATGGTTCAATTTTTTTTGTACTCAATTTTAAGTTAACAAGCAAATTCAGAGAATCTGTGTCCCCAGCTGATGGAAAAAAGAAGAGCATGCATTGATCTAGCAAGGGGTTCGAAGGGAGGCAGGCTGGGCCATACTGAATTACGATACAAATTTCATTGCAAAAGCTTACAAGCTTCTTGAGATATTGCCTATAGAAAAGAAAGTCTTATACACACAGAGAATTAAAATTTATAAATTTACCATCTTGACCTTTGACCTTTTAACCTCAAAATTATCAGGGGTCATCCTAAGACCATAGGAAGTTGTGGTATAAAATGTAATTGCAAATGTTCAAAGACTTCTCTTGATATCATGCAGAAATGAAATTGTTAATTAAAATGGAAAAAAAATTGAATTTATTACCTTCACCTTTGACTTTTTGATCTCAACAAGCAAAGTCAAAGAATTGTGGTCCCCCGCTTTCGGTGTCTTTGTGGGTGAGATGTTATTTTTTATGACATATTGTGTGTAATATGAACATCCTGTCATATGTCATTTATTTAGAAAGTAACATTGAAGTTGATTTTTTTTTGAAGGATGAAAACCCTAATCCTGACCGTTAAAAAGTTATGGCCAAAGTAAAAAGTTTTTTAAAAGTAGGTCAACTCCAAGGTCAAGATCAAAGGGTCAAATTTGTTGATATCCAATGAAAGATTTTCTCAGAAGGATTACATATGTGAAGCATGAAAGCCCTAGCCCTTACTGTTCAAAAGTTGTGGTCAAGGTTAAAGTTTTTTCATAAGTACGTAAATCTTTAAGGTCAAGGTCAAAAAAAGGTCAAAGTTGTTGATATCCAAAGAAAGGACTTGCCACAAAGAATACATATGTGAAATATAAAAGTCCTAGTATCTTCCGTTCAAAAGTTGTGACCAAAGTTCAAGTTTTTTTTAAAAAGTAGTTAAAACTCCAATGTCAAGGTCAAAGGGTAAAATTTGTTGGTATCCAATGAAAGGTCATCTCAAAAGGATTACATCTGTGAAGTACGAAAGCTCTAGCCCTCACCGTTCAAAAGCTATGGTCAAGGTTAAAGTTTTTTCATAAGTACGTAAATCTCCAAGGTCAAGGACAAAAGGTCAAGGTTGTTGGTATCCAATGAAATGTCTTGCCACAAGAAATACATATGTAAAATATAAAAGTCCTAGTATCCACTGTTAAAAAGTTTTGACCAAGGTTAAAGTTTTTTAAAGTAGTTAAAACTCCAGGGTCAAGGTCAAAGGGTAAAAGTTATTGGTATCCAATGAAAGGTCTTCTCACAAGGATTACATAAGTGAAGTAAGAAAGCCTTAGTCCTCACCGTTCAAAAATTATGGTCAAGGTTAAAATTTTTTTTATAAGTAAAAAAGGTCAAGGTCAAAAGGTCAAGGTTGTTGCTATCCAATGAAAGGTTTTGCCACAAACAATACATATGTGAAATATAAAAGTCAGAGTACCTACTATTCAAAAGTTAAGGCCAAAGTAAAAGGTTGGAATTTTTGTGTAACAGTGGGTCAAACTCCAAGGTCAAGGTCAAAAGGTCAAAAGGTCAAATTTGATGGTACCCAAAGAAAGGTCTTGTCACAAGGAATACACATGTGAAATATGAAAGTCATAGCTCCACTAAATCAAAAGTTATGGGCAAGGTTAAAGTTTTTGTGACGGACAGACTGACAGACGGACAGACGAATGAGATTTAATGTCCCCTCGCTTTCGCGAAAGCGGGGGACAAAAATAGGTGTTTTTACTTAGGGTCACAGTTTCATTGCAAAAGCTAAAAGGCTTCTCAAGATATCATGTGGTCAAATGAAAGTGTTACAGACAGACAGCTAAACAGATGGATGGATGGACAGACACTAAAATTAATATCTCCCAGCGGGGACGAAAAGAAAGATTGCGGACAAGGGGTCAAATTTGACGCTACATTTAGATATGCATCTTAAAATTTATGGAACCCATATAAAATTATTATTTAAGATTTTAAGAGGTAGTAATGATCTGAGAATCAGGGAATTATAGATACACTGATTTGTCAGAAAAGAGCTATGTTCTGGATTAATTCCCTTGTTTTACAGTGTCCAAGAGATACTTAAGTTACCAAAACAAAGTTGTGAAAGTGTATAGATAAGCTGGAGAAAATAGTGTCTTAAAAATGAATTACATACTCTTTGTTTGGAGAAAAAAGCTGTCTCACTGCAAAATCTTTGTCAGTGTTGTTCCATGTGTGTACATAATCTTTGATAAACTAAAGGTTGAACAAAAAAAGTAATATATTTTTATGTGCTCTACGTAAATCTATCTTTGAGACAGTGAATGTAAGTATACAGTGATAAGATATTGATGACAATGAAAAAAAAGTGCTGTGACTTTTCTTTCTGCTGCACGAAATAACCTTTCGTTGAGCAAAGAGTTAAATCCATGATATTATGACAAATTAGTGGAGTAGAGAGAGATGGGCATGCCCCCATAGGACCCCTACAAGGAACAACCAGTGCAAAGGCCAAGTGTGGCCCAATGTTACATGTTTGGATTTTCATTTCATTATCCAATGTAAACACTGAGCAAACAAATTGCAAATGATCTTGCAGGCATTCAATATCTTATGTTGAGGCAATTAGGAAAACCTTTTTGATTTGGTCCTTTCGTCTGTTTAACAGTAATATGTTCCAATCGATCACATTGGATGATTATTGCCTAACCATCAATTATTCTTTTTCTTGCTATTTGCTGTGAAGAGAAAAATTTGTGTGGTAGAAATCCAATTTTTTTTCTTTTTCATTTTTTTTTAAAGAAATTCAATTATTCCATTTCGTTTATGTAAAAAAAGTAAGACATTATCAAAAGAAACATTTAAAAACACCCAATATTGACATTCCTTAACATAGTAACCCATGAAGAAGCCCAATTTCAACAGGAAACTTTGTTCCTAGCATAAATGAAGTTTAGGAAAAAAGCCACACATTGAATTATATGTATTAAATAGAAGCCACGTTCATTTAAACATTGAACGCTAACGAAGCTCCTCCTACTCGTTTACGAACAATGGAGAAGATACTTGATTTGTACCGCTATCGATATGAAGTATTTTTCGACAAGTCATCTGCACTTGGTTGCTTCACATAGTTTCGGCCCGGGTTATTACTTTGAAGTGTGCTTACCTTAGAAATGTAAATGTTTACCAACAGCTTGCGATTTGTAAAACGCTTTTGTGACCCTGTACGCTTAGTTACAATGAAATCTCCTCTAGATCATTTAAATAGTAGAAATTCATAATGTAATCGTAATTAGAGGTGAATGAAGAATGGCTGTTCATTGTTTACGGAATCAAGAGAGAAAACTATCTGGAGGCTAATTATACAGTGTGAACCAGTACAAGTACAGGGGTTCTGTGTAAAGTCCCCAAAAAACCAAGTAGATGTTCAAAGTTTTTTTTTTATATGTGGGGCTGTTGAGAGACTGTGAGAAATTATATTTGGGTTTATTTTTAACACCACAAAAAAATTGAAAATATAACACAGACATTAAAATAAATCAAACTTTTGAAAGTATCAGTTTTTTCAATTTTAAAGGTGGACAGCTATATTTAATTTTTTATATGTTATAATAAAAACTAGTGCTAATTGTAACGGGAACCGTTACAGATGTTCCCCAAACGCTCCCTAACTCCCTTTTGGTGCCATATTCCCTGTAAGCCTTATCAAATAAGACACCATCTGTGCATTTTTGACTTTAACAACGTTTTCCCAGAAGGATACCAATTATATTCAGATTTTCACATTGCACGCGTTCGCACGTGAATGCACGTGCGTAATGATCATACCATCTTGTCTACACTTTCTATATATTTAAATATACCATATATTGAAGCATTTAGTCCAAAAGTATTAAAAATCACTCATTCAATTGTATTTTTAATTTCACTCGTTCCAAATGCGTGCACGTGCACGTGCATGATGTCCATTCCTTCTTGTAGGAGGCCCTTATATCTATCTATATTCTAAATCCCATCCTGTTTGGTTGAAAACCAAGGGAGTTATAGCCATTTCAAGTTTAAATTTGAATAACCACACAGAAAATATAACAAAGTGTTTGAGAAACATGACATTAAAATAAATCAAACATTTTCAAAAATCAAAGGAGATATAGCCACAATCAGATTTTAGCGCACGTGCAGGCGTGTGTTTTCATGACAATTTGTATATATCAAATTGTAGCATATCCACAAAATATAACATGAGTAAAGTCCTGCTAATTTGACATTTCATAATATATTACAATATATCCTTATATAATTTTGATTATATTATTTTTTAAGACTGGACAGCTATATTTAATTTTTTATATGTTATAATAAAAATTGAGACAAACATTATGAAAAAAGAGTGTGAAAGTGCAGATGATTATATAGTTAAAAATTTTTAAGTACAAATTAATGTAAAAGATTTCAAATATAAAATATTCATATTAGTCCATTTTAAACTGCCACTAAATTATCCCAAAATTTGACACTCTTTGTACATGTATTTTGAAATTTTGTCTAATAGATGTTTTATTTCACCAGGCTGTGTGCTAGCTCACAAAGGCTGTATCAACGAGGCGAGAGATGTGTTTGCCCAGGTCCGAGAGGCTACTGCCGATTTCTGTGACGTCTGGCTCAACATTGCCCATATCTACGTGGAGCAGAGGCAATACGTAGCTGCCGTGCAGATGGTATTACTAAATCTTAAAAATTTTGATCTTTGAATCTACTGATTAATTATAAAATAATTTTTCTATTAAATCAAATGTAGCAAAGCATAGCAATATCTGTCTAAATTTTAGAAAAAATAATCCTATCATAGTATTGGTAATATATTTGATTATTATCTAAAATAATTTAGCATGCTTACTTGATGTATATGAAATAAATTCTCATCATATATAGTTTGCAAGGAAATCTTTCAATTTTTAAAACTTTAGCTTCATTAGTTTTGCAGCAGTAAGTATGAAATATGAAAATTATTTCAATGACATAAAATTGTTTCAGTACGAGAACTGCTTGAAGAAGTTCTTCAAATACCATAACACTGAGGTAATGGTCTACCTAGCGAGAGCTTACTACAAATGTGGACGCCTCAAGGAGTGCAAGAATATTCTACTCAAGGTACATTTAACCATTTAAAATAAATTTTTAGAGCAGTAAAAAGCAAAAAATTTTTGGACAAAATAATTTGTAGTTAGCTCAAAATATGAACTTTTGAGAATCTGAGATTTATTCTGTTTTTCAGGCCCGCCATGTTTCCCCCAGTGACACAGTGCTGCTGTTTAACATTGCTCTGGTACAACAGAAGCTGGCCACCTCTATCCTGAAGGATGAGAAAGAGCAACCTGAAGACAGTACTGAGTGCTGTCAAAGACCTGGAACTGGCCATCAAGTAAGGGCACTTGTATTCTGACAAAATTAAATGCTTACAAGTACATTACTTGTATGATAAATAATAATCATAGAAAATCATAGTAAAAGGGTTGCACTTAGTGTGATTTTTTAAAACTCTTTATTTTTGATCTTTTCTGAATATTTTTCAAATACATGTACTGTTTTAATTCTTTATTTTTGATAGAGAATATCAAAATGAAATTTTGAAATAATATATTAAAATGAATGACATGGTAAAACTCTTGGAAAGTTTATGCAGTGTTTATTAGTAAATTGTAATTTTTTTTTCAAAAATAGATTTTACATAAATTTTTAGTAAAACTTTTTAAAAAAATCTTGTGTAGAATTTTAAATATGTTCCCATAAGCTCAAACATTTAAAAATTTTATTTGTAGGTACTTCACCCATCTTTCCACACATGGAGACAGAATGAAGTTTGATTTGAACCAGGCAGCCTCTGAGGCTCGACAATGCTCGGATCTTCTGAGTCAGGCTCAGTACCACGTGGCTCGAGCTCGCAAGATCGACGAAGCAGAGAGAGAGATGAGAAAAAGGCAAGAAGAGGAAAGGGAGGCAATCCGTCAAAAACTTATGGCAGAACAGGTACATGCAGATCAATGTTTTAAATGTGTTTTACTTTTTGAAAAGTGAAGGGTGTTTTACTCTTTGAAAAGTGTAGCTTATAATAAAAATGTAACACAATATTGGTTGGTGTTTGTTACATTTAGAACTGAATAGTTAATATGTATTTTTCCTGTCAAATTTTAAAAAATGAAATATATTTTAAAATCTTTCCTCAAGAGTCTGCATTATAGGGACTTTAAAGGTATATTCTTGGCAATATATAAGCAAAACCCACTTACAAGTTGTATGGTTTGAACTGTACGGTATCTTAATATTCTTTTAACAGATGGAGAAACAGAAAATCAAGGAAGAAATGGACAAGAAGTTGATGGAGCAGAGAGCCAAGTTTGTGGAGAAAGCCAAAAAGATCTCACTACTGGAGCCTGAAACTGAGGAGAAGCCGAGAAAATCAGGATCCAAGGTAGGATGGGGTAGATTTTGGTGGAGGCCGGATTATTAAACCAAAACATGTCTCATTTATATAGATTTATCAACCCTCTGATAAGAGAGATAACTCCCACTGGAGAATTGACAGTTATTTCTTTGTAAAATAGTAGTTTAAAATCCATTTAAGCTTGTGGGTTCTGTTTCTAATCATTTTTTTCACCTCAGAAATGAATGCATGGCAAATTACCTTTGAGCATAATTCACAAAAAAGAAAATTAAAATAGGGCAAATTTTATTATAAAAAAGCATATTTTTGACCCCACGGCTATATACCTGATTCAGGTATTTTCAGTGAAAAAGGCGGTCAATATTTTAACCAGGCCATTAATTTAAAGCAACAAAGTATGAAAAGTTTATGATAAGGAAAAAATATGCTGCGTGAATTTCCTCAATAATCTGCAGTTTGACATTCAAGTGAACTTTTAGGCCCCTAAACTTCTTCTGGTAATTTCTAGTAGAAACTTTACTTAGCAGAAAACTTGAAAGGAAAGAAAATCAAGGACAGATCCCTGTTTTATTAACAAATAAAAATCATTTCTATTACAGGAAAAAGATTATTTTTAATAGCTTAATACTCTTTGTAATTATAGAAAAGTAAGAAGCATGATGATGCTGATGACTTTATATCGGAGGGCAGCAGTGATGAGAGATCTCTGCAGCAGAAGAAGAAGAAGAGGCGGGGAGGATCGGACGGAGAGAACGACGACAGGGAGGGACGCAGGAAGAAGAAGAGGTAAACGTTCTATTTAGGGGAAGCCTTGTAAAAAGTGACCTCCCTTTTCCTGTACTATACAATATGTTGCACCTCAAAATATTTCTCCTTATGGTTATATGGGTTTGGAATACAATATTAGATTGAGCAGTGGTGCCGTTGTTTTATTAAAGAAAACTGTCCTAAAAGTTCCTTGTTTGTATTTGATTGTTCTACTTTTTGTTGTAAAAATGTCCAAGTTTTAGTTTTAAAAAATTAGCAATACAGGCAAGTCATTTTGACCATACATTTAAATGGATAGATTTGCTTGAGACAAAATTATCTACTCTTTAAGCAGTCAAATATGTTACACTGTTTTTCAGATTACTTAAGCAACTTACTAAAATTTTATAAAAATGCAGGATATAATGCAAAAAAATTATGATAAAAAGTATGTGGAAAGAAAGTATTTATATGTGCTTTGAATGGAGAAAGGGGGGAAATATTTATAAAATGCCCATGTTGGTTATTGTTTACATCAAGTCAATGGTTTCCTTCATTTCAGACAAAGAACCAGGCGAGGGAGGGGAGATCACTCCGATGAAGAGAAGCAGTCCCGCGGAAAGAAGAGAAGTAAAGCCACAGAGAGGCTGACGGAGAAACAGAGACGTAAAATCAGGTCCAAGGCCATCATCTCCTCCAGTGAGGACTCCGACTCTGACGGAGGAAAGAAACTTAAAATCGCGTAAGTATCTGAAAATACAGTAAAACTCATTTAGTACGAACATGGATATTGCGAATTCTTAGTTAAAGCGAAGTTGTCTTGGATTCCCAGCTATATAAATTCAAAGAATTTCTTATACAGATATTATAATAATGAATAATGGATAGAGTGAAGAAATTTAATAAGTCCCAGTGACTTCGTTATAACCAAGTTTTATTGTACTGTTTAATATCAACAGATCAAAAGTTGATCTTGCAAAGTCTAGAAAATTGACAAGTGGAAACTCTGACCATCTACTGTGAATTTATTATAATAAATTAGACATGTGAAAATTTTTATGTTTAAAGGTTTGTCACCAATTTCCTCAAGGTTTCCAAATTGTCAGTCCTTTCATTTTCAGAACTTTCAAAGAAATGAAAAGATATAATACATATGAACATGAAGCTGTATTTAGGGAATTTTTTTTCTTTTTGGAAAGAAAGGATGAAATTAAAGAATAAGCTTGCCAAAGCTAATAGCTTAACTAGTAATCAGCATCTCCTCAGTGGAATATTTACATCAGTTCCAAGGATGAATATAACAATGCATTGTGATGTAATGAGTATTTATGTATTGACATAAAAAGGATTGTGGTCTCATTTAAGTGGAATGGATTCAATTCAAGTACCTAACAAATGTATCATTAGAGTAACATTGCCATCGTTGAGGGAGATAAGTTGGAAGCATTTAGTGAGGATATTAGTTTGTTCAGCTTTTCTTGTGACACATGAATACAAGGTGTGGACAGCAAATACTAATTATGGATTAAAAAAAATCAAAATTAGAATAAATAAATTAGGGGGGGGGGACAGAAAAAAGGAAGAAAAAAATGTAACATAGCAAAAATAAATTTGCCTGAAGTATTTGTGGTATAATTATCAGGGAGGAGAATTGTCTGCAAAATGTGTCTTCTTCTCTTAGTGAATGAAAAACATGATACTAATGCAATTGCATTGCATCCATTAATTGTAATTGCAACAGACATGAATGTTTTGAAACAATGTTTAAAGCAGAGATGTCTAAGCCCAATGTATCCTTGTCATGTTGGAATTAATAAAATAGCAAAAGACAGAAGAATTTCTGTTGAAAACAATTACAGGGCCTTTACCAGAGATATTGATTATAAGCAATATGGCTAGTGGGCTAAGAGTATTATATCTGTGAAGTCAGACATCGTTGTGGAAGACATCTTTAACAGTCTCTTAATGAGGCAATACAAGTTGACCACAAGCTTAGAAACCCAGGAGTGATGATGCCGGCCATTATTTGTCACAGTAATCAATAATAAAGCTGGAAACAAAACAAGTTTCCACGATCTCAAGACAATGGCCGCATTACAGAAACCTTACAATTGCTAGATTTTTAGGTTCATCTGGAATGATTCTGCTTGCCAAGATTGGAATTAAATGCCCAGAGTACCCCTGGTTTTATGAGATTTTTTTCTCCAAAAGTTGTTCATATAAAGTACAATGATTGGTTTTGATTTAGTCAATATTCATGCAGATTATTTTCTTTGTCCCTGGGCTATTATATATGGGTACATGATAGCTGGTTAACTAGGAATACATGCATATATAATTAAGAACAGATATGATTTTGTGTTATTTTTATGTTATTTCTAACAGTGTTTATTCATCTATTAGCCTAAAAAAATCTTTTAGTGCAAAGTTTGTTTTTCCTTCTGTTTAGCATCAACCTATCATTCATGAACTTAGCATAGCTTTTAATAGAAAACATATAAGCTGAAAAATAAAACACTATATCAATAACTAGGCATTCAATTCATTTCATTATTCTATTTTTCTTGTAGAAAGATAATTTCTTTGCAAAATCAATGTAAAAGATGCTAGATACAGTGGCTGGAACGTTATTGTTGACAAACCAATCGTGTAGAATCGTTCGTGCATCGTGCGCAATCGTTCGTGTAACGTGCAAGATCGTGCGTGTAACAGAGTCAATCGTTTGCGGTTTTAATCGTGCGTGAACGTGCGTTTAGAAACGTGTAAATTTCGTTTTGTTAGTTTTTATCGGAATGTTATCTGTGAAACAATTATTTCGTTTATATTTTATTTTTTAATCCACATAAAAAGAAATAAAGCGCAGTTTACATAATTGAATGCGGAACGAACTAACTATTGCTTGTAAACATGCAATATAGTAAGTCGTACAATATTATGTTCTCGTCAAATAGCGTGACTTACTGTGATATACCGTAAGATGTTTTACTATATTTTTCTGAAGATCATTCTTGTTTGCTGCTAATTGTGGTAAGATTTTTTTTTTATTTTTCAAATAATCCAAAAAAAAATATTTTTACAAATAAATAAATATTTTTCAAAGCTAACATAAATGTTTAGTCGGCGAATATACATGCACGTCACGCACATGATTTTCGGGTTTTGTTTAACAGTATTTATCTCTGTAGCTTACTTTCAATTAATTTTTCAAGTAAAACAATAATTTGCAATGTCGTTTTTTTCATGTTTTAGAGATTCATAAACATTTTGAAGTAATGAAAACATATAGATATAACTTTTAAGTTAAGTCATTCCATGCTGCCATTTTTTTCCCAATCGTATCCCCCATTCTACATATTATCAGGGACCTATATACTAGTATATAGGTCCCTGATATTATGAAATCCAATTCAATCAAATTTTACGGTCCACCCACTACTATCTTCTGATAGAACAAAAACATCCGTTTTCTTATGTCGGATAATTATCTAAATAATTATTTATTATCTAAAATAATAGTAAAAATCTTACATGTATTTAGTACCAGAAATACCTATTTCTGTTTTTTTTTTTTTTTAAAAGTCGATGATATAATATATTTATTGATAATTCTTTGAATCTAAAATCAATATAAAGCCTTATTTCGTTTTGGAAATATATCCTAAATAATTTGAACTATTTTGCGTGAAGAATCGTGCGTTTGCGTTAGCAATCGTGTAAGATCGTGTAACGTGTAGAATCGTGAACGTGAAAGATCGTTCGTGTATCAGGTTTAATCGTGCGTTAATCGTGCGGAATCGTGCGTGTAACGTGATCGTTCGTGTAAGTTGTCAACAATAACGTTCCAGCCACTGTATATACTTAATTTGACAGACTGTCAACCAATGTGGAAGAAACTAACAGGTTTTAAAGATATCAACCAAGAATTCCTTTTTCTGGACTATTGATTTTTTGTGGGTTTTTTTCTGATCTCTCCTTAGAAGATTTGATTTTCTTTGCAGGGCAAGCAGTGGAAGTGAGGATGAAGGTGCAGAAGGTGTTGGCAAAAGAAGGAGGATAATGTCGGACAGCGAAAGCGATGCTGGCAGTAGAAAATCTGGGTCAAGGTCAAGATCTCGAAGCAGGTCAGGTTCAAGAAGCCCATCTAGAAGTAGGTCTGGGTCAAGAAGAAGGTCAGGAAGTGAATCTGGTGCCAGCAGAAAATCAGGTTCCCGCTCCAGGTCAAGGTCAGGATCTCGTTCCAGATCAAGGTCACCATCAGGATCTAGGTCAAGATCAAGGTCCGTATCCAGATCTCGAAGTAGGTCAAGGAGTGGATCTCCAGCAAGAAGTGGGAGTGGATCCCCTGCAAGGAGCGGGAGTGGATCACCTGCCAGGTCACGTTCAAGGTCTGCTTCCAGGTCAAGGTCAAGATCCAGATCAGGAAGCCCTGCTAGAAGTGGAAGTCCTGGATCTGGAGGTCAAAGGTCACCAGTAAATTCTAATGAAGGAAGTGAAAATGAAGGTGGAGGGTCTGGTGGAGAAGAGAGTGATTAAATCATGTGTTTTCAACATAAATGTGACCCCTAATGCACATGTATCATTTGTATATATCATTTCAACTGCTATGTACAGAATGGTAGTTTAACATTTAAGAAAGGGAATTTTTGTATGCTTGTTGTAACATATTGTCAGACTGTTGTCTAATACGATAACATAAGAATGTTTGTAATACGAAGATCCAAGATATTGATTGAGAAAGTTATTTACATTGTGTAATATTTCAGGTAACAGATGTGTTGGTTTGTAATTTTTTTGCTTTGAATGCATTAGCTTTTTTATAATCACATTTTGTATAATGTGTAAATAAATATATTTTTCCTAGAAGAATCAGGATAGCTTTAGGACATTATGTCCTATCATTCATGTAAGTTTTAACATCAGAATTTGTATCAAACTAGATTTGTCAATTGTCACAGATGGCTATTGTTTACATTAAACACATAAGTGGGTGGCATAAATATCCTCACTAATCGCAAACAGTGTTTTAAAGGAATTGCGACTTCTCTTGATTGTCAATCCATTCATTCTTCCAATCAAAGACAAGCACAAACACCCTGGCAGCAACACTTTTCCTTGATACAGGTTTTAAGTTTTTTTGCCGAGTGGTTCCTGTTTTGTTCTGATTTCCTTTAATCGTTGGAGATTCGGTGTCATTTTTACTGGTCCTTAGAATGGTTATTGATTGGGAATTGTGTTATAAGCTGTTGACGGTTTCCTAATGTAATGACATCTGTCAACCGGTAAGTCAGCTCTTTATTTATAACCATTGATAAGTGCTTTTATTCAGCAATCCTATTTTCTTGAATGTTCAAAACAAAACACAAAAAATCAGGTCTGAGAAGTATGTTTAATTAATTATGGAAGACAATAGGAATACAATGGGTTTTTTTTTTTTTAAATAATTATGGAAAATAATAGGAATAACAATGTATTTTCAATAGTGAAGTAACAATAATAATTTTTTTTTTTTTTTTTTTTTTTTTGAAAAAATAAGAATTAGGTTGTCTTTAACCATTATAATGTGGCAAACCTTTTTGAAAATATTTTGATGATGTATAAATATCTTTTCAATAAAATATAAACATTATTGTATCATTTTGTTATTTTGTTTCTCTAGATCTATATATGCAGCATGTATGTAATAGATTGATATGTTCAGTTCAAGTCCACAATTTTTGGCAGATTTGATTCTAAACAATTTACTCAGTATTAATACTCAAGTGAGGGATTATATTTCCTTTTTTCCAAAATATCTGCTTTGTTTGAAAACACTTAAATATTATTGGGTGTCATTATAGATATACCGGGTATTTTGATGAATTTTTCACTTTGATAATTTCTTTTTTCTGAAAATAAGATTCTGTTGTGCCTTCTTTTTGTTGTTCCATATTTCCTTCTATCAAAAGCAATGATTTGAACTATATAGATTAGTTATAAAACAGCATATATCTGGCACATAATTCAATATAGAATAAATAGGACTGCACAAATTATTGTCCTAGTTTAAATGGGCATATTTATAAGGGAAGGTGTGTCAAGTCTCAATAATTGGGGAAAAGGGGGGGGGGTTAAAGGGTGACATTCGGACTGAAAGTTAAGGACAGTATACAGTTTCTTTCCATGATCTGATTCCATCTCATTACAAGTGGGGGTAATAAATGGCTCATACCGGTCATAACCATTTGCCCATTAAGCAAAAAGTCTAATTTAAATCTCTCTGGAGGATATTGTGCATTATGTTCTTGGACAAGACGTTTTATTGTCTCATATGCTCGGCTGAAATAGGTAATGGCTTGCACTAAGAGATAACTTGCGATGGTCTGGTTTCAAATGGGGAGGGGTCATTCCAAACATCTTGTTGGCACACTACAGAAACTGCTACTTAATATGCTCAGTGACAGGAAAATATATTCCCAGTTGGTATACATATGCTGCATCAGGGAATGAAAAGGCTGATTCATGTTTAGAATCTTGCCACTTTCTTAAAAAGTCCACGATTAAATTAAAACCAGGTTGTGGTATGCTCCCTGCTTATCATAGATGGTTTCCAAAGAAATCTTGCACATTTATTTCTGATGCTTGGTCTAATGCATGTGTCATGCAGATGCTACATCCAATCTTTAGTCTTGGACAGTCAGGGAATCATATAAATCAAATTCATGAACACTGGGACTTTATCAATTATTTTGTTGTAATGCAATATGAAGATTAAATGAACATTAGTCAAGCTCAAAGTCCATTGAAACAATACAAAATGGGATTTTATAGCAGAGTAAACAGGGACCTCCAAAAACGTCAGAGATGGGATCAGGTGGCATGAAGGAGTGAATATCCCCTGCTGATCGGACACATCTGCCTGTGCTCCTCGTCATGATTTGGAAAAAAACAGACCTATTATTATGCGGTGATTTTGTCCATGCAGGGATGTATATATCTGTTTGGTTAGATAAGATTATTAATTCTGACATACATGATTTACGAAATCACCAAACCTTCCTTCCTTTAAGTTAAGCATATTTACAGAAAATCACAAAACAATGGCTATGGATGCTTCTGAATCTTAAATATCTGAAAATTTCCTGAACTTAGATTGAACATTTTTTTCTGAGGAAAGGGTTATACGTTTATACGAAAGCCCATTGGGCTCATTTTCGTTGGTTAAAAAAATCATATTGTCGCGATATAACGCGTAACTTTCGCGAATTAACACGTTATAATGCGAAAGTTTCGAGTTATTTCGCGAAAATTATATGCATATAGTAATGTTATTCAGGAACTTTGATCTTCACACACAAATGAAAATATGAACGCTGACGGGAACTTTCATGAACTTATTCATAAAACATCATTTCCTCGAAGATGTACTGGAGAAATGATGCGTGAATAGGATAGGTTAGTCATCAGAATTTTCTTTACTTTCTTGTATATGTTTTTCAGTTGTTAAATTCAAGAAATTCTTTAGACTGATTATTTTATTTAAAGAAATTAAATCTCCACTTGACACCTTTCTCATGCTGTTATTTTTTTTTTATCAGTAACATTCACTACAACTGTACCACTAGTAAATTAAGCAATCCATCATTTTGGACTAAAAATTATACCCTGTAGTTCTAAACAAAGATTAAAAGTGAGTGGACAATTAATGTATCATTTTATGAGCTTAACGTGCCATATGATGCTTTCAAATAACAAATTTAAATGGATATTGTTAATTAAAAATTTATCGAGGAGGAAGAGGAGGGGTCTACGTTGCTTAGTTTTTCTCCAATATTTATATATCCGAGGGGTTATTGAAAAGTTCGTGGGCTAGCGTCATAAATCAAAACTACACTATGAAGGTATACAGCAAAGAGTTTTTACACTTTGAATTAATTGTCAATGTTTTCGTAAGCAATGGAATGACCACGTGGTGCAACCTCAAAATACGATATGTATACGCGGTATATCTACAGTGAATCTAACGGAGACAAATGAAAATCTGCCATCCAATTTTCACCCATGTGGTGGGACACAATTGACAAAGAGTTTATTTGTTAATTTTCTGAGATCTTGATCTTAACAATTCTATTTCAAATTCTCTATAGAGTGTGTAAAAAAGACAGCTGAAAGGGTTGATTTTTTTCGAAATTCATAATTTTGAACTTTAACTTTTGAAAAACACTTAATCCAATAGCTAGAAAACTAAAAATTATAGCTTGTGATACTAGTAGTCCAGGATCAAAATATAGCCTTTTGCTTTTTATTGTAATGAATAAACTAGATCACAAAATCAAAAGAAAGTTAAGACTTATGCAAGTGTCATCATTTTCAACAGCCAGTGTTTCGCTTTATAACGCGAGAGTTTCGCGTTTATTCGCGAAAGTTTCGCGTTGTAATGCGAAAGTTACACATTATATCGCGAAAAATTCGCGTTATATCGCGAAAATTACGCGTTATTTCGCGAAAATTACGCGTTATTTCGCGAAAGTTTCGCGTTATAACGCGAAATTTTTTTTTTTCAAACCTAGGAAAATGAGTCTATTGGGTTTTCGTACGTTTACACACGCGGTATAAAGTATCTATCGATAATTTGATATGTACTATTTCTTTCCTTCTCTGCAAAACAGATCCGTTATTTCTTGAGGATTTTGACCAAAATTGAGTTGACCTTGGCAATATCCACCTGGCGACCCCCCCCCCCCCATAATTTTTCCGATATATAGCATACATACAGAATATTAGAATATATTAGAATATTAGAATATTTATTCAACCAATTTGGGCCCACAGTGGAGCATACAGAACAGTGTCCAAAATCATCACAGTTATACATATACAAAACAGAACAAAACAAACATTGTATAATGAACAGAGAGTTAGTTATCTTCTTTTAGGATGTGTAAAATGTACATTATAAGTGGCCTATGTATAAATCTGCAATTTGCCTATTTGAACTATGTTGTTTTCTCTTATTAAAATTTGCATTTAAAAGTTGGCATAATAAAACAACAAACTCAGAATCTTCATTTGACATAATCCATGTAAACAGGTCAACATTGTTACAGTGTGTTAAGCAGTATCAAATTAGGAAAGGTTTTAAAGATTTTATGTAAAAATTCTCTTCTTGAGTCATTATAAAGTGGACATTCTAGCAAAAAATGCAATTCATCCTCAGCTGGACTTAAGGTGCAGTAACGACAGATTCTCTCACACCTAGGAAGAATTTCATTTTTACCACATTTATTAATTTTCCTTTCATATCTACCCGTTTCCACCCTTAAACAATGATTACTAATTCTGAATTTTGTGAGAATTACCCGATTGTCTCGGTTTTTCATATTCAAGTATTTTTCAAAATAAAAAGACCTTTTATACTTAAAATATGTATTTAATTTACCAAAGCCTTCCAAATAATTGGTACGAATATTGTTCCAAATGTTTAAAAAACTATTACTGAGTTGTCTTTTCATGTACAATTTAAATTTGTTTTCACTTAGTTTTTTACAAAGGGACAAATTAATATTAAGTTTTTCACTGTAGAATAATATACTGGAGTACCAATCACTGTTGATGATGTTTGATTTGCACTCATTGAGAGCTGCTTTCAGTAGGTTAGATGATGTATGTTCTAGTCTATACCAATACATGAATATTTGCTTTAACATGTCTATATATAATGGGTACCTCCCTAGTTCAGAATAGATTCCTACATTTGTACAAGATTTAGATACACCCATAATGTATTTACAGAATTTCATATTGAGTTTTTCAACTTCCCAATCTTTAAATATATCAAAAAGAGGGAATTTTTCCTTTTTGGAGTAACATTAATAATGCTCCAGTTCTCACAGCCATATAAAGCTATAGGTTTAATACAGTGATCAAATATATGTAAAAATGTTTTTAAGGAGGGGTTAGCATTTTTCACATCCCTATAGAATTTAAAGCATGCCTTTAAACTTTTCTGATACAGTTGTTTTTTGGCTTCAGTAAACTTTCCATTGTTTTCAAGAGTTATCCCTAAATATTTATATTGTTTTACACATTCTATAATGTCATTACCAAGTTGGAATGCTTCCTTCAGTAATTTACCAGAGTTATTGAAAATTATTACCTTTGTTTTTTTTATGTTTACTTCTAGACACCACTCACTACAGTAATCATGGAGAAGATTGAGTTTACATTGAAGATCTGATTTTGAATTGGACAATAAAACAAGGTCATCTGCATACAGGAGACATGAAATCATTTCTTTATCTAGAGTAACAGAAACAGAATTATGATCCAAAATACTTGGGAGGTCATTTATAAAGAGTTTAAACAAATTTGGACTAAGGACATCCCCTTGTCTGACCCCAACCCCAGATGTGAAAAAATCTGTCATTTTATCATTTACTTTCACACATAATCTAT